ATCATAATATAACATCATTGAATGAATGAATAAATTTCATTATAACTTAATCCATTGTAAAGCAATGAATTTAAAGAACATCATTCAATAAATTCCATTCTAAAATAATACATTTTAATATAATGTGATTCAATGAATATCATTGTAAAATAATGAATTTTATCATAATATCATATAATAAATTTCATTGTAAATTAATACGTTTTAATGCATCATAAACTTACAAATTTCATTTTAAAATAATACATTGTAACACAATATCATACAATAAGTTTCATTGTAAATCAAAACATTTTAATACATCATGAAATTGATAAATTTCATTGTAATATAATGCATTTATTGAATTGTACAGAAATGAATTTTAATAACACCTACCCCTAGATTTCGTTCTAAAAAAATGCATCATTATATAATATCGATCAATAAATATCATCGGAAATTAATGTATTTTAATTCTTTGCGTCCCAAATTATTTCTGCTGGACGCTGACACGTCCAGATAAAAACCAACATGGTCGCATACGGATTCACGCGCGCACAACTACACACCCATATCTACTAATTCGATACCTACCACATCCACACCGTTGAACATTCTTTATTGCTACATTTCAGTAAATTAGATAATAATTATTAAACATGTATAGATTTCTTTTTCCTACTGTAGAATTCAAAGGTTTAACATAACATTATGTAATAAATTTCATTATAAACTCATACGTAGCATTGCAAATATATTTCATTTATAATATTGTAAATAATTATAAATTGATAACTGTATGTCATTCATGAAAAATCATAATGTAAAATAATACTAATTATTGTAAGTAATATAAAAAATTGTAAACCGTGAAAAATAAATCATGTAAGTACCATGTTTTGTCTTTGTTGAGCATGCTCGTGATTTGTTCGATCGAGTCGTATGAGAATACTGGTGAAAATGTGTTTCTTATATATATGTGTTCAAATACACACATTGCCAATCAAAGACATTCTAATGATGTTGATATCAATTTGACGAACAATAATTGACGATGATGTGCACACTCGAATATAATTGATTTGATTAATCATCACATGATTAATTGAAATGATGAGATACGAATTAATTTCATCGTTTTTCATGTGCATGGATGTGAATACTTGTCCTTTGTTCATATACAGTCCTTCATGGACAATACATATTCTTTTCTTTCTTTTTTTTTGGATCAGAAGAAATTTCTATTCATCATCATCATCATCATCATCATCGAAAAAACAAAAGCAATTAATGTGAATCATAAATCATAGAATTATTTTTTCGTACGACTTTTGAAAATTGATTAAAGTGCATTATTCAAATGAACATATTCATTTTCTTGGAAACACAAGATCAACAAGTCTGTTGAATACGACTCCATTGTCATTATATGAAACCTCGTTAAGACAATGCCAAATAATTGTATAGAAAATTAAAACGTTTTCACAAGATTCGATTTATATTCCATCGAATGAATATTTCTATTGAAATCAAATCACTAATATCGAATTGAAACTTTTAAACGAGTATTATTATCAATTGAAACAAAATTCTTTATTAAGAAAAAAAAATTGAAAATAAGAATCACTTCAATACGTTTACTTGAAGATAAATTTCGATTTCACATGATTGATTTGCTGATATATAATCAATTTTTTAGTTGAATATTGATAGCAGTAAATAAAATATGCATACATGATTCAATCTGAACAAACACTATCAGTAGCACATGACTTATTTTCTGTCAAAAACCAATTTTTGTTTTCGTCGATATTATTATTTTTATTGTACTCAAAAAATACCTAAGGAGCGAGCTTTTATCATTCGACTCGTGTGAAAATACTTTTGACTTCAAAAATGAAGAAATATTCTCTCAAAATGTTTCGTCGATACGTAGGATTAGTAGATGAAAGTTCTACAAGTGAAAACTTCTTTGCTACTAAACTGAAAGAGGAATGATTTTCTTTAAAAAAACAATTTAAAATTAAGGAGTTGATTTTTACTTTTGAATAAGTAATATTGTTATTCATCCATCAGATACATTAATTCGATCGTAGGGTTTCTATCATGTTGTTTGTTCTTGTTCATATGTAATTATTATTGATGGATATGAAGGAACAGATCGATTTTAAAATTTTCTTTTGTTTTCCTAGTAAATAAGAGTTTTTACTGTCTACCTTGTTTTTCTATTATTAATAAATGACTACTCAAGTTTTTGCACAAAGAATGAAAAAAAAAACTTTAATGTTGTTTTTTCAGATCCATGTAAATGAATAAAACTTCATATTCCAAATGAAAATCATGTTTTTTATATATTTAAATAAATCAACGATAAAATTAAATATAGCTAAATTAGTCATTTACAAAAATTTATATAAACAATCATTTAACTTAGACTACTATCCTTTCATATAATACTATAAGTGATTAGCTTTTGGGTCTTGAGGCCTAACATCGTTGACAATTTCCTTACAAATATGAACTAACTTCCAGCTAGAGTCGAGTTTGTTACACCAGTTAGAATTTCATTTAATTACGTTGACGGTTGCCATATCATTCGTGCAAATCAATAATCAACACCAGGAAAAAAAACTTCTATTGATTTTGAAGAAACTAGAAAAAAATTATATCATAAACCAAAAAAGAACAAATCTTGATTACATACTACTTTCGTCTGTTATAAATATAACCGATTGACTATATGGATATTCTTTATCAATAGAATCTAATGAATCACAACGAATTCTAGCAAATGTTCCATTTATTGAATCAATTCCGATATTTGCTGATGATAAATTATTAAATAATAATTCTATTTTTAATGATTGAATTCTATTCATTGGTTGTAACAGACGAGAATATTTCATTTTAAAGAACTTTGTCAGAACAGATAACAAACGTTCAATAGATAAAGTCATCTATACTATTTTCTAGAGTAACTCGTGACGTATCAAGTAGTAATATTCTGGCCAGCCATATGCCAATTATGGAATGTTATAGGATTGGTTACTTTTGTTCTCAGCAACAGCATTGAAGAATTTGAAAACTTCATTAAAATCAAAAACTACAGATCCCAGTAAAAATATTAAGATTTCGAATAGGAAAAAGCTATTTGTCAAAATTATTAGATATACACGATTGAAAAACTATATAAGATATCTATTTTATATATCTTAACTGGTCGAGTGTGATTGGAAAGGTTTTATACGATATGTTTGTTCATTTTTGTCCCACTAGAAACGATTTCCAACGAGACACTCTTGCCAAATATGAACTTAGAAATTTCATTTCAATTTTTACATTTTCACTATTATAATTCGAACCTAAACGTTGGAATCGTTATTTAGATGTTATCTTGTAATCTACTTTTTGACTGAAAATCGTGTTATGTTGAAAGCATCTATTCTACAAAACGGTATCGATGATCAACTAACGTTTGTATTTGATAAAGTCTATTAGGATATTAGTCATGGACAAATAATATTTATATTTACTTGAATATTTTGCCTATTGTAAATAATATCTTCTCATCTGGATTTAAACAATATATCGTAAAATATTTTTTTCTACTAGTATAACTAAGTGGAAATTTTATTGCTACAGGACGTTTTAAATCAAAACCTTGTCTAATTTTTGCTAATAAATTATTCACTTTTTGGATGTTTTTAAATTAGGTTCGATTTCAATTATTGAACTATTAATGAAATTCAATTGTGTGTTATTCATTTTAATACCATTCGACTTCATAGTCGATTAAATAACCATTGATTTCAAATAGTTATTGCCAATTTATGTTAAATTTTCTAGTTGATCAGGAATTTGGAAGAAAAGAATTTTATCACGAGAAAGCAATGATGAATAGAATCTCTGTATTAGTCTATTTGAAAAAGCAAATATTTAGCAAAGAGAAAAACAATCAATTATGTGTTTGAATCTTGGAAGATGTAAGGTAAAATTGTGATGAACTCAATGCATTATGAACACTATCACGAGCTATCTTCTTTAGATTCATTTTACTAATACGAAACACATAAACTTAAGAATTTATCTTCAGGGATAATCAACTAGCAGAAAAACATTCAATCTTTACTTATTTAGTATTGCGGCTAGAAATGTATTTTGTTATGAACTTTTTAACAATTTGACAAATTCCCTTTATGCATATACTCGTTTGATATATTCATAACGACATACCGAAGCTATTATATTGATTCATGCTGAAATTTGGAACTCGATTGTATGAGGACTTTGTTAATTTAATGCTATGTATCATACAATCGCTTATTTATCGCATCTATGACAATTGGAAAATCAACGAAGAATTTGAAATGTCCTCGAATGTTTCAGAAGAATCTAAACATAAAATTTACTTGTAATGTACTCAGCAGCCTTTGATTTTTATTAGCTCTTTGAATTGATAATGTTCGTTCGAATTCGTCCATTGTGCAGATAAAAGTTTGAATAGGATCAATACCATGAGTGCTTTCTTCTTCAATTATGATCATTTTAAAGAATTTTCCGATTATTATTGGATATTACGAGAAAAAATGAATCGTAGAATTCCAGTCTGACATGCTATTTGAAGATAGTTCTCATAATTCTTATAATATCCTGCAGAATTGGCTATTTTTGTTTTAAGATAATAGAAATATAAAATCATTAGTTTCTTGCAAACCATTCAAAAAAACATAGTTTTTCTTTTGAGAGGACAATATCTTTAGAAGAAGAAACCATTCGCTTTCGCTGAAACTTCCAACATTTAATTATGACACTGAGATCTGTCTTCAGGTAAAATTTCAGACTAAAATTCTGCAATGGTTCGAAAATTCATTAAAATAATCATAACGCAAGAAAACAACACTCTTTTTCTTGTATAGATCAATACATTCAATCTAAAACCAAACAAAAAAACTTTAGTTATTCAATTTATCTAGTTTGTAAATTTGTCTCGCTTTAAATGAATTCAGAATTTCATTAATTTATGATAAAGATGAACCTTGCCATTTAATCATAATTGCTATAAAATTAACTGGTTCAAATTGAATAATTGTTCGTGTACGTATTGCTGTGCCTTCAAGTGTACGAACTTTAATTATTTCACGTGCTGAACCAATACATCAACATTATTAACGACTGATAATATAGATATTAAATATGATTTTCATGTCATTACATCTAAAATTAGAAAAATAAAATTTGATTAGTTTTTGTATCGATGCACAAAACAAAAGGATTTTTAAAATATATGATTGTGTTGATGAATTAATACGAATTGATTTCCAATTTATATTTGGATAATTTAATGCATAATTAATATTACAACTAATTAATTATATATTAATACTTGATTCTTTTTTATTCATAAATAATCTTACTTTCTTCTGATAAAGTTATTTTGTTATTAGGAGTACTTATTTTGACCTAAACGTAAATAAAATAGTTCGTTGTTTTCACTTGAAGTACTTATGGTTAGTAGCGGTAGTACTTTAACACCTTATAGAAGACTTGACAAAATTTTCTCTATAAATATTCTGGTTGCTTAAATAGTGTTCAATAGCATTTGATCACTTTACAGTTGCTATGATTTCTAAATTCAAGCTCGTACTAAAACATGCCGGGAGAACAAACTTAGTCTCGGTCACTAGAGACTTAGACTATGAGAAAAAAAGTTATCTTAAGTGGAATTAAAGATTATAGTTAAATATTCTATAGTTTTAAGCGAATAATCTTATAAATCAGAACATAATTCAAAAGAGACAGTCGAAGATTCACTAAATAAATCAATAAACCAGTACTGAATAATTTTCTTTTCTTCAGACTGAGACTGCGACCATAAAAACTTGATTCCAATCATGTCTATTTATACTGCACTATAGTTTCAAATGGGAACTATGTTTTATTTTCGGCAATCCAACTCTACCTCTCAGAACAATTGAAAGATGGTGCACGTGCTTTTAGAAAGGACGTGAATAGGAAGAATGACCTATCAGATCTGTAAATCAGGCTATATTTTCATGATCATCTTCAAGATCAACTTTTTCGATATAAAATGAGATGCAATCTTGCTTGAAGGTTGCTATGATGACGGATTATTTGTTGAATGCTACCATGAGTTAAATCAGTTTCCGTCTCCGAAATCGAAATATTCGATATAACCATATCGATTGAAGAATGACGAAATATTATAGAGTACTATTATTCAGATTCTGAGTACATATATTTCTCTGAGCCTTATATAAAATATTCTAGTGCTAGTATCACTACTTTTGGTACGTCCTACATAATTCTATATACCTTCTCCTAATTAATTCCAAGCTGATAATTTTCGTAGAATAATATCTTCTTTATTGTTCCATCGGAATTCATCATTTTATGAACATAATTGATTGATATCTGATAATGTACTATCATTTATTTGAATTTCCTATCGTTCAATTGGTGTATTTTCATCAGAATTAGTTATCCAAGTTAAATTAACAATTATTGATTTACTTATTGAATTATTGACTAGTGACGTTTGAATAAATGATGGTGACTAAGGTAATTCGATGATAAACAAAATAGATTTGTATCATTGAACAATTTTAATAATATTCAACTTGTCAATAATTGTAACTTGGAGTGTGGGTGTTGGTATGAAGTGTTTTGCGAGTTAAAATAAAAATCATACCTTCCACACCCACGCCATTTTAAGAAAGTTTTAGGCAAATCAATAAAGTATTTATTTTTTCTAGAAAAAAAGCTTCAATTAATTTTGTTTCCTCAGTGGCAAGTCATCAAAGATTTTCTTTTAAGATTGAGGATGGATGTTGATGTTTAATCATCTCTTGATCTACACCCACACTGATTGAAATATATTATGATTAACATCGTTTTTTCATCAACAGATATTAACAGTAGGTGGTAATTTATAAGCCAAAACATATGTTGACGAACTCTCTCTTTCACAATGACAGCAGCTGTATCGTGCTTTAAATTTTGTTTCTGCTGGAATTACGTTAACAGCCTTTTAAACTTTTAAATATTGTGATTATATGCTTTCATGTGTATCAAATACTATAATAGTTATCAGAAGACATAATTTATAGT